CAAACACTCTGTGAGGTGAGTGGGGCTGAGAGACTTCAAAGAAGTGTGACTGGCCCAAGGTCACCCAGCAGCTGCATGTGGAAGAACGGAGACGCGAACCCGGTTCCCCAGATTACGAGTCTACCGCTCTTAACCACTACACCACACTGGCTTGCTTCAGGATGAGAACAGAAATCATGTGGCGGCAGCGGGAGGCCCCATTAGCTAAAGTGGTACCTCAGGTTAAGAACAGTTTCAGGTTAAGAACGGACCTCCAGGACTAATCAAGTTCTTAACCTGAGGTACCACTGTACTGAGCTAGACAGACCAGTGGTCTGACTGGTTTGAGGCAGTTTCCTATGCCCATATTTTTACCTGCACCCCAGGGTGGGTTCCTGGGTGTCCCAGATGAAGCAGGCTGCAGTCACCCTCACCTTTGCACAGTTCTCGCCGCTTCCTTTAGTGGAAGTCTTGAGGCATCAAGAGAGTGCTGGTTTCCCCACCGCTTAACACCAGCAACACCTGTTGATCCCAGCAGAGCACATCAATGGATGGTGTGCTCCAGGCAGCAAGGGGTTAACGTTTTGCATCAGGGGCTGCAATTTGAGGTGGGGTTGGGGGGGGGGAGAGGCTGGCTTCCCTTGGCTGGCCCCCTTCCCTCCCTGTGGCCATGGGGTCTATAGGATGCCAGGAGGGTGAAGTAAGAGTAGGCAGCCCTTGTAGTCCCTGTAACTTAATACAGAGTAGTGCAAATGAGATTTCTCCCTTCATCCCTAAACACCATCTTCTGCGCATTCTTACTGTGTGTTTTTGAAAAGGGCCGTGTTAGACAAAGTTTGGCAGGATGGCGCCTTCTAGAACCTGGTGTCCCCCCCAGATGTTTTGAAGTACAGTTCCCATCAGTGTTGTTGTTTTTAACGTCCAGGATCCTTTCCCCTCTTCTGTTGCCATTGGACCAAATTCACACACAAACGCCACCATCCATTTCTGCTTCCATCAGAGGAATAGTTAGCGTTCACCAAAGCATTTGGGAAGAAGGAGATCCAAGATTCTCCCTTATCTCATTCTTCTGCTCTGACAGCAGGCGCTGGAAATGTAGAAATCAAGACCAGCAAAAGCAAACAAACAGCTTGGTGGCATTTTAAAAAAATATAGATCCACTTTGTTTGAGTTTGATTCCCAAAGGGGCTTCTGCGAACACGTGTTAAATTAAGCAAAACTCTGTGGGAAGAAAAGGCTGAGCAGGCTTTGGGCTTGTTTTCCCAAGACAGCCCTAAGTAAATTTGCACAGGAGTAAGAGCCATCACACAAGGAAGTGTGCCTAACTCTCATCGCAGGCTCCCTTCTCTTTAGAAAGGCAAATTTTGCCTTGCCTGTTTTTGCATTTTTTGTTTTCGGTGGTAGTAACCGTATCCACAAAATTACTGCCCTTTCGGCAATGCCGAAGGAGACTTAACCTTTTTGGAGGGGATGTATAGAAAATCACTGGTTTTCTTCAGGCAGAAGAAAATGGGAGTTAAAGAGAAACGCACAAACACACAAGTCTCTTTTTCTTTTGGCCTGGCATTATCCCCTTTCAACCGAGATCAGTTTCAAGTTGTTCTTAAAAAGCACCCCCTTCCTTCCCCCCTCCCTCCCTTCTTTTCCTTAGCAGGTTCCCCCCTCTTGCTATTTAGGTGAAGAAGTGGTGATAATATGCAGTTTGCATTTTGCTGGCGCCAGCCTGACTGGCAATTTATCTGACTGCCTCTCTTAAAGCTGCAGTGCCCCTTTTCCTAACTTCTGGTGTTTTTTATTATTATTGCAAGTTGGGGTTTTTCCATTTTTTTTTAAAAAGCAGCAAAACCTGCCTTCCTGTTGAAACTCCTGAAGAGAAGGAAAAACCAGCTCTACGAACCTGAATTTTCTGTTGCCCTAACTATAGAATTCAGTTCACGTAGAAATTAAATTGTCTAAGAAACTTGACTTGGAAAAGGATCCTAGATCTTGTTCTTTGGTTGACAGGAACAAGACAGGAGTCTCTCTCTCTGTGCGCGCGCTTTTCTCTCTCTTAATTCTGTTCTGCGCTAGTGCAAGGGGAGCGGGGAATCTCCCCCCTTTTTTTGGCAAGTCAGCTTTCCTTAATTTCCTTAATTCTCTTTGTTTTGCAATCCCCATTCACTTTGGATCTTTCCTACAGGGAGTGATGGAATTTCTTTCTCTCGAATATACTCTCTCCAATATCACTGGAACACGGAATACCGTGTTCTTTGTAACAAATGTGCACTGACTTTGTGTCGAGGGTTTTGGATGGAAGCAGCCGTTGTTGAACACCTCCCAAGAAAGAGAACCCCCAGAATGCAGCTTTAAAAAAAATGTGACAGTGTTGTTCTGGATTCTTCCCGCAGCAGTGTCAAAACTCTACAGAGGACTTTCTTGGCTCCTAGAGAAACCCCATAATTTGTCACCCTTTGGACCTTGGAACAGGGTATTTTCAGGCACCTCTGAAAACTATAGTTCCCAGGTTTCCTTTGGGCTGGTAGGATGAGTTGAAATTGAAATAAACTAGTTGAAAATTTCTTTTAAAAATTTGAAGTGTTGATGCCCTTCCATAGTTTGGTTCCCTCAGCTTGCAGTCTTGTTTGGAGCACCAGTGTTGAGAGTTAGTTGCCCTGAAATTTCAAGTAAACGCTCAGTTCTCATTGTACACTGATAAGGAATAGGGCTGGACAATACAGTAATGGGTTTTCAGTACAGTGGTACCTCGGGTTAAGTACTTAATTCATTCTGGAGGTCCGTTCTTAACCTGAAACTGTTCTTAACCTGAAGCACCACTTTAGCTAATGGGGCCTCCTGCTGCTGCTGCGCCACACGATTTCTGTTCTCATCCTGAAGCAAAGTTCTTAACCCGAGGTAATATTTCTGGGTTAGCGGAGTCTGTAACCTGAAGCATATGTAACCTGAAGCATATGTAACCCGAGGTACCACTGTATCACGATATATCACCAGCTCAGCATCGCGATATATCAATATATCATGATATCTGAAATAAGAATGGAAATACACAGAGGCGAACAGGACAATATCCTGGTAACTGCTACTACTGTTTGTGCTGCCGCCATGAGGCCTTGCAGGCTACTACTGCTACTGCTACCAGCTCCTGTCGCAGCCACGAGGACTTGCAGGTCGCCACTGATTGTGCCGCCATGCCTTGCAGGTTGTCGCTGCTGCTGCTGCCACGTACCGCGGTCATGGCAAGCTGTTTCTGCCACTGCCGCTTCTGCCGCCTAGTAGGCCTGCTGGCAGTCTGGCAGCCCCAGATTATATGTATTCACTATCACTCATCGCCGTAATTTGGATTGTCCTCTATACCACCATTTGGTAGCCAAGCCCAAAACCCAAAGTCCTGTTGGGATGCATTTTGGCATGCCTGCTGATGAAACCAAGTATTTGATTATTGGTAATATTGTCATTTATCTGTTTTAGACCCCTAAGTAGTAGCAGTTGCCAGGACGTTGTCCTGTTTGCCTCTGTATAGTTCTATCCTTATTTCAGACATTGTGGTAGATGGCAACATTTAGCAGGTGATGTTGTGAGGTTTAGCTCCTGATAACATTGCAGTGTTTAGCTGGTGAGTTATCACAATGTTGAAAACCAGCAATCACCTAGCCCAGGCATCCCCAACTTGCGGCCCTCCAGATGTTTTGGCCTACAACTCCCATGATCCCCAGCTAACAGGACCAGTGGTCAGGGATGATGGGAATTGTAGCCCAAAACATCTGGAGGGCTGAAGGCTGGGGATGCCTGACCTAGCCCCTACACACATTGTGATTTGCGATATATTGCTAGCTAAAATATTATGAAACAATTATCACGATGTGAACTTCAAACCGGGGTTTTGGACGATATATCGACCAGCCCTAATGAGGAAGTTCTGGAACTTGAAAAAGCAGTGGTGCCTATTCCCAAGCAAATAGGCGTTTTGTGCCTTTGTAGGAGCAGGAGTTTGCTAGCCACAAAGTGCATTGTATTCCCAGTGAACCTGGCCAGAGTACCCTGCCTACCGTACAGGTGCCAATAGCTTTGATGGGACTAAGGTACCCCTGCCCGTACGGGCCAGTCGTGTCCGACTCTAGGGTTGTGCACCCATCTCACTTAAGAGGCCGGGGGCCAGCGCTGTCCGGAGACACTTCCGGGTCACGTGGCCCGCGTGACGAAGCTGCTCTGGCGAACCGGCACCAGCGCAGCACACGGAAATGCCGTTTACCTTCCCGCTATAAAGCGGTACCTATTTATCTACTTGCACTTAAGAGTGCTTTCGAACTGCTAGGTGGGCAGGAGCTGGGACCAAAAGACGGGAGCTCACCCCGCCGTGGGGATTCGAACCGCCGACCATGCGATCGGCAAGCCCTTGGCACAGAGGTTTTACCCACAGCGCCACCCGCGTCCCCGGTTGATGGGACTACAGCAGAGTAAATTGGATTAAGGACTGCAGCCAGTGGCCTCCTTATGACTCAATTCTAGTTCATTTTGGTCCATGAAAGCACTTCTCCCCATTTTATCGTATACACCCAGCACCTTGAGGGGTAATGTGTTGTTAAATAACTATGCTTTGTGATGTGCTTATGAATGCTTTGTCTTAGGCAGGGGTCAGCAAACTTTGTCAGCAGAGAGCCAGTCCACTGTCCCTGGGGGGCCAGACTATATTGGGGGGGGAATGAACAAATTCCTATACCCCACAAATAACCCAGAGATGCATTTTAAATAAAAGGACACATTCTACTCATGCAAAAATACGCTGATTCCTGGACCATCTGCGGGCCAGATTTAAAAGGCTATTGGGCCGGATCCGGCCCCTGGGCCTTAGTTTGCCTACCTATGGTTTTAGGAGTGAGTAATGGTGCCCAGTGTCTCCATAAAAACAAGGAGAGAGATATTCCACCATAAGTTCAGCCAAATGGTTCCTTCCTTGGTGTGGGGGCAAATGCTTCTGTAACCTAAACTTCCAGGGGTTGTTAATCAGTGTCTTCCTTGCTTTTCAGAATCTCCACCCCCTCCTTACTCCCGGCTGTCTCCAAATGACGAGCAAAAGCCACTGGGTAAGTATCTCTCTTTTTTCCTGCACATTGCTGGAATCCTGGACTTGTGTGTCTTGCTGTGATTTCACGCGAAACGTTCAAAAGCTGCTGCAGGCCAAGCCCATCTCATTCATTTCTTTTCAATCCTGGTTTCTGCCATTTAGGCCTCACAAAGTGTGGCTTGCAGCGCAAAAAAAAATAGGCGATTGACAAAATCCCAAACGTAAACGAAACTCCCCAAATTTAAAATCTCAGAAACGAAAAAGAGTGTCAGAATGTTTTGGGACAAAAGGGAAGTGTTTGTAGTGCAAAGGCCTCCTGAAATGAAATTGTTCTAACCAGGCTTTGGAAACTCAGCAGGGACTGTGCCTTTCTGACTTCTGGTGGGAGGAAGTTCCGCAGGGTTGCACCCTGAAGGCACGATGACTTGTTGGCATGAGTTGTGCTTCTGGGCCAAGTGCTTCCCTAGAAGATCCCAGGAACGCTCTTGGGGATGTACAGGGACAGAGACTCTTCGGGGTTTCAGACAGAGAGCATTCTTAGCCCTGCTTTGAGATTCTGGAGATAGAAACTGTGTGGGACCTTTTTCATGCAAAGCAGATGTTCTGCTACTGAGCTAATGCCCCCCCCCAAAGCTCTCTTTATAATCTTTGGTTACCACATTTTTCACTGATAGGGCACCTGAGCTATTGGCAACTGTACGGTAGGCAGAAAATCCAATGGTTGCAGGCGGGTTGCCTTTTGTCTGTCTGCCACCCGCAGATCAGTGCAGCAGTAGGGGAATCATAGAATTGTAGAGTTGGAAGGGACCCTGAGGGTCATCTAGTCCAACCCCCAGCGATGCAGGAATCTTTTGCCCAACATAGAGCTCAAACCCACGACTCTGAGATTGATAGAGTCGCGTGCTCTGCCGACTAAGGGAAAACTGAGTCTGCTAAAAGAATCTGGCCACAGCAAAGGTGACAAGCCTCCCTTAAACACAGCAATGTGAGATGCTTTGGATTTAATTTCTCTCCTTGTTCCCCCAAATCAAGCAAAGGGAAAATGGTCAAAGAAGCTGGGAACTGGGGGGGGGGGGAATTGACCTACTTTAAAAGCTGGTGAAATCCAAAAGGAGTGGCCTTCCAAAGTATATATTGCCTCTGAGGAATTCAAGCACAGACCTCAGTGGATGGAGTGCCCGATTCTGCCTCTGGCTTTTTGGGGTTGGGAGGCTGGTCAGTTAGGTGGGAATGCAAAGTCAAGAATCATGAATTCAAAGCGTGTGCAGCCCACCCCACACCCCTTGCAAATAAGCAGTCACCAAATGCAGTGGTATAGTGGTACATTTTAAAGTTCAGGGCTCTTCACGAGAACCCTCATAAGAACATAACAAGGAAAATGTGTATTTGCCCAATACAGTGGTACCTCAGGTTACATATGCTTCAGGTTACATGCCTTTCAGGTTACAGACTCCGCTAACCCAGAAATACTGCTTCAGGTTAAGAACAGTTTCAGGTTAAGTACGGACCTCCGGAACGAATTAAGTACTTAACCTGAGGTACCACTGTATAGACTTTTTTAAAAAAATTAACTGCTTATTTTAAAGATTTGTTGCATAGTACATATTATGGAATACAGTAACAAAAGCAATAGAACTATAACAGTGCACATCAATTGCTCAAAGGAAGTATGAGAGCCAGTGTGGTGTAGTGGTTAGAGTACAGTGGTACCTCGGGTTACATACGCTTAAGGTTACATACGCTTCAGGTTACAGACTCCGCTAACCCAGAAATAGTACCTCGGGTTAAGAACTTAGCTTCAGGATGAGAACAGAAATTGTGCTCCAGTGGCGTGGTGGCAGCGGGAGGCCCCATTAGCTAAAGTAGTGCTTCAGGTTAAGGACAGTTTCAGGTTAAGAACAGACCTCCGGAACAAATTAAGTACTTAACCTGAGGTACCACTGTATTGGGCTAGGATCTGGCAGACCAGAGTTCAAATCTCCACTTGGCCATGAAGCTCATTGGGAGACCTTGGATCAGTCACTGCCTCTAAGCCTAACCCACCTCATAGGGTTGTTGTGAGGATTAAATAAGATGGAGTAGAACTAGCTCAGTTGTTTAGAGCGTGGTGCTGATAATGCCAAGGTTGTGGGTTCTATCCCCACATGGGCCACCTGCATATTCCTGCGCTGGAGGTGTCATAATTTCTTCAAACCTTCCCCAACCTGGTGCCCTCCAGGTGCTGACTGCGGCTGATGGGAGTTGTAGTTCAGAGCACCTACGCAGTGCACCAAGTTGAGTTGCATTCCCTAGACGGAGAACTTTGAGTGACACAATGCGAAGTGAAGCTTTGCTTTTCAGGCTGGTTTGACTGAAAAGAGAAGGGATGGGGGAGGGAGACGCACACACGGAGTTGATCTTGGAGCAAACATTTAGAGCACCTTTTTAATTAAAGGGGTGCAAGCAAAGTGGGGGGGGGTGGAGGAGAGAGGGAGAAAGATCAACAAAGACTTTTAACTTGTTAAAACAAAGTTTCCTTGGTTTCAGCAGGGGAGGAAGGAAGGGAGGAAGGAAACAAGAATAAACAGCTTCAAGAATTTTAATAGTGATAATTAAGTATAGTAACGATGAATTGTTTGGAGGCTTAGTGTAACCTTATCCGAGGCGCTCCCAAGTTCCTACTTGTTTGATTTGATCCACTCAACCTTGGGTTATTTTTGAGGGCAGTTTCGGTGTTTCAGGAAAGGGAAGGGGAGCAGTGAATGGCGCTTGGATCTGCAAGGACATGAAACAAAGGGAAATGGGGCTAGTGTGAAGTTCGGTGAGGGGCCACCATATCTCAAGAGGCCTTGCAAGCAGAAGATCCCACAGGTTCAACCTCTGGCACAGCCAGATTTCTTTTTTTAGTTGATGAAAAAGTTTATGGTAGGGAGGGTCACCAACGTGGGTGCCTCTTAGACGAATTCATGGAGAATATAAGAACATAAGAAGAGGCTTCCTGGATCAGGCCAATGGCCCATCTAGCACAGCATCCTGTTCCCACAGGGGCCAACCACAGCACATAGTTAACCTATGGAGCCAGTGTGGTGTAGTGGTTAAGAGCAGTGGACTCGTAATCTGGTGAGCTGGGTTCGATTCCCCGCTCCTCCACATGCAGCTGCTGGGTGACCTTGGGCCAGTCACACTTCTCTGAAGTCTCTCAGCCCCACTCACCTCACAGTGTTTGTTGTGGGGGAGGAAGGGAAAGGAGAATGTTAGCCACTTTGAGACTCCTTCGGGTAGTGATAAAGCGGGATATCAAATCCAAACTCCTCCTCCTCCTCCTCCTCCTCCTCTTCCACAGGAGGCTGTGATGGCAAACCAACTTGAATGGCTTGAAAAGGGGATTGGGCATATTCATGGAGGGGAAGGCTATCAGTAGCTATGATGGCAATTTTCTGCCTTTACATTAATGCTTCCAAATGCTGGCAGGGGTGGCAACTTGAATAAACTATTGGGGGGGTGCCATTGGTAAGCCCTGCCCTGCATAATTGATCACATTCCCCCCATTTGAATGGCGATGCCCATCAACTGGGGGGGGCAGCCCCCTCAAATATTCTATGGGGAGGGCTGAAGGGACCTCAGTGCCTAGACGTTGGCTCCTATGGTTGCTGGAAACCACAGGAGGGGTCCTTGTGCTCAGGTCCTGCTTGTGCATTTCCCATTAGGGCTTCTGGCTAAGCAGGCTCTCTGTACTTCTCCATCATCTCCGTTCAAGGGCAAAGGAATGGGTTGTGGAGCTGTGCTGCTGAGGGGCGTGGCCTGGGAGAGGGGGTGTGGCCTAGGGAGAGTTCTGAGGACCAATGAGAGAGGCCTGCGGGGCCTCATTTGCCCTTAAGTTTCCCAATTCCTGCCATATCCCGTTCCAGCGTACTTAACCAGTCTGCCTTTCACGCATAGCTGTCAACCGCCCCTTATTTGGCGGGAAACTCCCTTATCCCAGTGCCGTGTCCCGCTGCTGTCCCTTATTGATGATGTCCCTTAAATTTCCCGGGTTTCAAAGGAAGCATCTCCTCTCCCTCCCTCCTTGCCGGCCAGGGAGGAGGGAGGCTCCAGCTGTGTTGCTTGGCTGTGTTGCTCACCCAATAAGGAGTCTAAGAATGACTAGGTTTGCATGCCTTGTGCCAATCAAATCGGCCGCGTTGCCTGGGGACTCGCTTTTGCTCAGCGCTTCCCAGTGGAGAGGTGACGGTGGTTTTCCTTGCTGCATCCCTTTTGCCGGGTTGATGCGTTGTGGGAACCACCGCTTGAGGCTTCGTTTGGCTGCTGGCTGGGCTTTCTGCCTTTGGCTCGGAGGGGCTCAGAAGCTGAACATACCTGTGCCGGGAAAATCCCTTATTTTGGCTGCTGATCCCTTATTTTCCGAGGCTGCTGGTCCCTTATTTTCAAATCTGTAAGTTGACAGCTATGCTTTCACCTGTGTTGTCTTCTGGGAGAATTGAGCCAACTTCCTTGATCCAGCAAGCCATCCTATCGAGTGCTCCCAAGAACAACCCCCTAACTCCATGCTTCCCAGTTGCTGTTGCCATTTTCCACTTGTCCCTTAACCCCTCTGTCACCCTTCCTGCTTGGGGACTGATTTCTCTGGAGCAAATAGGTCATCCGTCTCCACCTTCCATCTCCGGCCTGCACAAGGAACCATCTCCATTTTTGCTCCAGGTGGGTTGTGTAACCAGTAGTGGGATTTGCTTGCTTGTGTGGCTTCACCAAGAGGGCAACATGTACATTGAACCCTAGAAAGGTCATGGCAGGACTTTAAAGAGCGATAAGGATTTCGTTTTTAAATGAAAGCTTTTTTGTGTGCCAATGTATTTTGTGTTTTGAGTGAGCAGCAACTTGGGTTTCAGAGTATTTGCAAATAAGATGCCTGTCTTCTAGGAAATAACCCTTGTCTTTTCTCTTACTTTTGCTTCTAGATCTTTCAGATTCCACCTTGTCGTACACTGAAACAGAGGCTACAAACTCGCCCAATGTCACCCCTGGAGAATTTTCAGGTTAGCAGATTTTTCAGCATGTTGAAATCAAGGGACTCTTTGGGGCAACTTTGTCAGACTCAGTGTTAGAAACTGACTCTCTCTTGGGAAATATAATCCAGGAAGTTGAAATGCTCATTTGAATATGGGAAACGAAGGGGTGATGGTCGTGCATATCAAAGGGACCTTTCCCAGGGCTTCGTAGCCTCAGAATTTTATCCAAGATATTTGGTAATGGTTTTGCTTGCCATGGAATAGAAAGAGAAAATTAAGGCGTAGTGTGGTACACACCTAAAAGTAGTGTAGGAGGCTCCATGAATTACAGTTATGGGGGGGGCTCAGGATCTGTTAATATGGGTTTGAACCCCATCACTAAACCTCTGGCCCCAGGGCTCCCTATGGGATGTTGTGGCACTTAAAATGGTTTAAAAGCAGTTTACTCTTGCAGTGTAGGCCAGTGTACGTGAACCTGTGGCCCTCCAGATGTTGCTGGACCATTTGCATTATTCCTGACCATTGACCATCCTATAGAATCATAGAATTTTAGAGTTGGAAGGGATCCCAAGGTTCATCTAGTCTGCAGTGCAGAAATCTCAATTAGATCATACATGGCAGATGGTCGTTCAGCCCCTGCTTAAAAACCACCAAGGAGGTCTTCCTCCTGCCACTGCCTTCCGAGAGAGCCTGTGCCACTGTCGCACAGTTCTTAGTATCAGAAAGTTTTTCCTGATGTTTAGAGAATCTCCTTTATTGTAACTTGAAGACATTGGTTAGGGTCCTAGCCTTCGGAGCAGGAGAAAACAAGCTTGCTCCATTCTCCATGTGACAGCCCTTTAGATATTTGAAGACTGCTATCGTTATCTCCCTCAGTCTACTCATTTGCAGGCTAAACATGCCCAACTCCCTCAATGGTTCCTCATAAGGCTTAGTTTCCAGACCCTTGATCATCTTGGTCACCCATCTCTGCACAGGTTCCAGATTGTCCATATCCTTTTAAATTTATAGTGCCCACAACTGGACTCAGTACTCCCAAGCGAAGTCTGACCAAGGCAGACCAGAGCCAGGACTATGACTTTCCTTGATGCAACCCAGAATAGCATTGGCTTTTTCCGCTGCTGCATCACACTGCTGACTCATGTTAAGCTTGGGGTCCACTAAGACCCCTAGATTCTTTTCATAAGTACTATTGGCAATCCAGGTGTCCCCATCTTATATTTGTGCAGCTGGTTCTAATAACACCTGGAAGGCCACAGAGTTGCTAATATGGGCATTTACTGGGGGTGGGGCAGTTAATCTAGACTTGAGAATCCTTTATCTACCCAGTTTTGTTTCATAATCAGTGCATGCCTTCTAAGTATCTCTGCAAATGGAGCTTTGTTTATATGTTTCCATTTATCTGATTATCTGTTTCTTCAAAAAAATTGTCATAAATATTGGGAACTAATCTTGGCTCGAATTTTAAAGTGGAAATGATCTAGTTTTCCATGGAGCACAATGGAGTTCTGTGTTTCTGTAACAAAACAACAACAACAAATGTCCCTGCCATGTGAATTGCTGTTATATTTTCCTAATTTGGTGTCAGTTGGAAGTTTCTCTTGCACCATATTGCTGGCTTGGGGAAAAAGAAGAATGAAAATGTGCGGTCGCTGGGACAGTCTGTCTGCTCCATCGGGCAACCGGTTGTTCCCTTTGCAAATGATCTCTCCTGTTTTGCAGGACTTGGTTTGCCCAAGGGAAACTTGGATAATCAAGTTCTCATACTCCTCTTGTTATTTGTTGTGGAACTCCAAGTTTCACGTTTTAATTAGTCCTGGCTACTGCTTTTGAAAATGTGCTTCAGACATTGCCCACCCTTTCAATTTCCCATGGTTTTTTGAGCCAGCAGCAAGCCATAAACAAGTTTGCTGAGACCAGGAAGTATAGTATTTCTTTGTTGCCTTCCTAATGTGGTAGGTGGGAGTTTGCCTTCTTCCAGCCCGATGCCCTGCAGATGTTTTAGGCTACAACTCCTTGTATCCCTGACAATTATCTGTGCTGGGTGGGACTCATGGCAGCTGCAGGCCAAAGTATATGGAGCCTTGGGAGCTTGATTTAGAGACCTGTTTGGAAAGAAGCAAAGGGAAATAGGATGGCCATGGTGGCATGGTTGTAATCAGACCAGATTGACAATTGGTAGAAAAGTGGGTTTTTTGGAAGACTCCCATCATTTTCTTCTGAAGCTGTGATTTGTTTATTCAGAAATGCGCACATCCTGCTTTCTCTCAAGGCAGGCAGAAAAAAGATGATAACCACATCCGAGTAGTTGACAAATGGCCGTCCTTATGGCCAGGTTTTACTCACTGGCCACGGATCTTCTCCTGACTGCTGTGGCTTGTTGTTGTCAAATACCCAACTGGTTTAATTTTGGTTTGGTTTGGTTTAATGTTTGTGTTCTGCTTTTCCAACAAGTGTTGAGCTTGCAACAACCATGGTGGCATTAAAACAGCAACAAGCAAGGCAATCACTATGATATTAAACACAGTAGCATGTAAGTAAAGCAAACGACAGCGTCTAATTGGTCAAAAGCAATTAACACAATTCAATGAACCCCATAGCTGGGGTTGAAAATTGCGACTTCTTCTCCATCTTCCTTTTGAAACATGCAAGGAACCTTGACCCGGGACAGTAGTGACTTGAAGATGCTTTGCAGAGTTGGGCGTGATGGTGGCAAATGTCCTCTCCTCAAATGCTGCTGGTGTTGTTGTGGCTGTTTCAGCTGTGTCCCCTCAAAGTTATGGTTGAGTAACTGACATCTTGTTGCTCTTGAAGCAGATTTGGCTAGACTTGAGACTTCCAATTGCTGCAAGGGACGCGGGTGGCGCTGTGGGTTAAACCACAGAACCTAGGACTTGCTGGTCAGAAGGTCGGCGGTTCAAATCCCCGCAACGGGGTGAGCTCCCGCTGCTCGGTCCCTGCTCCTGCTAACCTAGCAGTTGGAAAGCACATCAAAGTGCAAGTAGATAAATAGGCACCGCTCCGGCGGGAAGATAAATGGCGTTTCTGTGCGCTGCTCTGGTTTCGCCAGAAGCGGCTTAGTTATGCTGGCCACATGATCCGGAAGCTGTACGCCAGCTCCCTCGGCCAGTAAAGCGAGATGAGCGCCGCAACCCCAGAGTTGGTCATGACTGGACTTAATGGTCAGGCGTCCCTTTACCTTTAACCTGTTAGATAAGCAGCTCCCAAACTTTTTGGGGCCACCACCCCCTTGGTTCCCTGCTCTACCCTATAAAAAAAGCTTTCAAAATAGTGGTTTGCACAATCCAGTAAGGAAGATAACAACACAACGAAATGCAAAGCAGTAAGAAATAATTGCACATTTATTCGAAGTCCAATTAACTATTTAGTTTGCTTAACTATGGCCAGCAAAATTAATAACTTGATCCAATGCTATCAGCTTTTCAAAGTCTGGTGGTCATTTGTACCTCCAGAGCCCCCCTGCCACCTCCTTGCCTCTTAGTGCCCTGCTAGGTAATCCCTGCCTCTGGGGGGCGGTGTGCCACCCAATTTGGGTATCACTATGTTAGAGCAAAAGGTCTCAGCCATCCATGCTGTGGGGTGGAGCTGTCTTCCTGACACCAGTGTCACCATTACTTACCTGGGCTAGGCAGGGTGGCAGTGAGTTAGGGGCTGTGTGGGTGCACCAGTTGGAGCACTTGATGAGTCCCGACACCGCAGTACTGACCTCCTTGGCCCCATCTAGGTCAGGAGACGCATTGCCAGCGTCAGGAAAGTGCCTCTGCCCCACCACACCCACCTTGCTGCTGGCAGAGTTTGAGGCCTATTCTGGACAAGGAGAAAACCTGAAGATGGAACCGACTAAGGTTTCATTTGTGTGGTTCCCTCATGATTCAGCAGTATAGGATACAACAGCTATCTTCGAATACCCTAAAGGACTGTCTTGTGGAAGATGGAGCAAGCTTGTTTTCTGCTGCTACAGAGGGATTCAAATGACCACAAAGGAGATTCTGAATAAACCTTGGAAGAACTTTCTGAGGGTGAGAGCTGTTCGACAGTGGAACGGATTCCGTGAGAAAATGGTGGACGCTCCTTCATTGGAAGTTTTTAAGTAGAGCTTGAATAGTAATCTGTTAGGGATTCTTTAGCTGTGATTCCTGCACTGCAGGGGGTTGGACTAGATGACCCATGGGGTCCCTTCCTATTCTATGATTCTGTCAGGAAACAACCCAGGAAATCCGGGGGTTTTCTCTGCCCTCTTTGTCCTCTTGGTGCTAAATCCGAGAGCGGGGAGGAAGTGTTGGGAGAGCATGGACGAATTTGATTCTGACATGCAGGAATTTGAGATATTTCTCCAGCCCCACAACCCAGGAAGGAGAGCTGGCGTTTGGATCGGGGCTTGGCCTATATTGGCTTGTGACTCAGATGTGGAACTTCAGTAAATATAGCTTCTGACCACCGGGCCAAAGGCTCGCATATGAATTTTCAGCATGAAAACTTTGGCGCTTTCAGTTCTAAAATAATGTCTTGGAATGATCCATTTCCACATACAGCCCCCTCTTTAAATAAACCGCAGATGAAAACACACAATAGCTGTGAGCTTCCAGGGGGAAGGTGGCGGATTAGATTCTGTGGTATCTGAGCCCTGCGTTGTTGACGGGAGAAGAAAGCGGGTTTAAACTTTTCTTTGGGAACAAAATAACGATCACTTTGTGACCAAGATTGTAGTGTAACTGGATATTCCCATCTCCTACCGTGGAATTTCAAGTGGCGCAACTCTTCATAAGAGTGTAATGTGGGCTATTTATCTTTTCCCCAGTGGGGAGGATTACATATATATAGGATAAGAGACAAGCTGAAGTTAACCCTGAGCGTGCCATACTTGAGCAACGTCAGTGGAGTTCAGTCTCTGGCAGGAAGTCTCTGGCCTGGTGTGGCCCCATGCATGCCCCTTTAAGAACTTGGGATACAAGCCCTGTGGGATCAGGCTAGTGGCCCATCTAGTCCAGCATCCTGTTCTCACAGTGGCTGACCAGAAGCCCGAAAAGGAAGCCCACAGGCAGAATCTGAACCCCAGATCCCTTGCCCCTCCTGTGGTTTCCAGCAACCTGTATTCATAAACATTGCTGCCTCTAACTGTGGAGGCAGAGCAATAGCCATCGTGGCTAGTAGCCCCAACAATAGCATGGCATCATGAAATCCAATAAGTTTATTTATTTAGTTGGAGCGTCTCCACCCCCATCATTCTGCCCGGACACTGAGGTCCAGCGCCGAGGGCCCTCTGGCAGTTCCCTCACTGTGAGAAGCCAAGTTACAGGGAACCAGGCAGAGGGCCTTCTTGGTAGTAGCACCCACCCTGTGAAACACCCTCCCACCTGATGTCAAAGAGAAGAACAACTACCAGACTTTTAGAAGACATCTGAAGGCAGCCCTCTTTAGGGAAGCTTTTGATGTTTAACAGACTACTGTATTTTAATACTTTGTTGGAAGCCGCCCAGAGTGGCTGGGGAAACCCAGCCAGATGGGCGGGGTTTAAATAATAAATTATTATTATTATTATTATTAGTTGTTGGTTGCATTTATAATTCCACCTTTTCTCCCAGGAGCTCACAGTGACGCATGTGATTTCTTCCCCTCCTCATTTAATCTCCGCAACAACCCTATTAGGTTGAGAGGCAGTGACCTTGGGGATCACGCCCAGTGAGCTTCCTTGGCATGGTGGGGATTTGAACCCCGATCCTCTGTGTGCTAGTCTTGACACTCCCAACTACTGGCTTTCAGGCGGGGCAGGTGCTAGCAGGTCCTCCATCCAAGCACTGGTTTGAGTTCAGCAAAGTCATGCGTCCCCAAACCAGATCGAGGGAGAGGGGAACCTTTTCCAGCCTGAGAGGTGCATTCTCTTCTGGGCATGCTTCAGGCATGGAGAAATCACATGCCCGTGGTGGGGGGAGTGGCAAAGTGGGTGGGGCTAAATTTTCTCCTGCAGGACACATTCCAGTCTGTGAAAAAGTGTGATACAAGGCTGGGGAGGGTGTGTGGCCCCCAAAGAGTTCTGAGGGCCAGATGGAATGGCATGGAGGGCCACATTCAGACCCCGGGCCCGAGGTTCCATTCCGAAGAACATGCCCTATTATTTAGATTTCTGGCCTGTCCTCTATTGCAGCCTTTCTCAACCTGTGGGTCCCCAGATGTTGTTGAACTACAACTCCCATCACCCCTAGCTAGCAAGGCCAGAGCTCAGGGATGATGGGAGTTGTAGTCCAACAACATCTGGGGACCCACAGGTCGAGAACCACTGTTCTATTGGTTCAGGCAGCTCACAGCAATAGCATGAATATGAAAATGATTGAAAAAGGAGCTGTACATAACCAGAGCACAGCGCTGCAACAGAACGTCCACCAACCCAGTTGCTGGAAACCACAGAAGGGGATAGGACTCTTACTCTTAAATGCTGCCTGCAGGTTCCCCACAGACATCTGGTTGGCTACTGTGAGATCAGGATGCTGGACTAGATGGGCCGTTGGTGTGATCCAGCAGGGCTGTTCTTGCGTTAATCCATGTGCAGCAGGCCCCCTCCTGTCGACCCCTTCGGAAAGCCTGGTCAGAGAAATAAATACAGTCATACCTCTACTTATGTATCTGGATACGTAAACTTCAGGTTGCGAAGTGTATACTTCTGGGTTTCGCCGTGCGCACATGCGCAGAAGGGCGCCTCTGGTTACGGACTCTTCAGGATATGGCCGGGCCTCTAGAATGGATCCTGTCCATAACCAGATGTACCACTGTATGTCTTTAACTGGTGTTGAAGGTTGAATAACAGATGTGCCAGCCACATATTATAAGATAGAGAGAGCTCGTTTCATTGATGTTCCAGTGGATGGGATGCTTTTAAAGTACTTCTCTTTCCTCTTGGTTTTAATGTATCTCTGTGGGGTTTATTGTTCCTTGGTGTTTGGTTGTAAGTTAAGGTTACCAGATCTCCCCGCTTCCCGGGGACAGTCCCCGGATTTACAACTCAGTCCCCATACAACATCCCATCATTCCTACTGAAGTTAAAAAGTGTCCCTGGATTCATTGGAAAACAATCTGGTAACCTTATTGTAAGTCGCTTTGGGTAGCAAAGCAGAACTGACAAATTTAATAAGTTAAATAAATAAATCACGTAGAAGCCCCTGTCTCAAAGGGAGAAGTCCCCTAATGATGACACAATATGAAAGGGCCTTTATGAGAGGAAGAAGGAGACCTCTTTGTTACAAGCGGTTGCATCTCTGCCCTATTCTTATTTAAAGGATGTAGATTCCCTCCTTGGGCTTCCCCTTCATTTCATGTTATTTGGCCTTTCTCTCTCTGCGTACCCTGTTACAATCAGGCTAAAAAGTCTTATTGACAAGGTAATGTGTCGGTTGCCAAAAAGTAATACTTAGAAGCAAGAAAAAAAGGGGGGGAGGGCATGGTGGGGGAAGAGGGAAGAGTAAGCAAAGAAAGTAGCTGGGGATACTTCGTTCAGATGTTTTTATATTAAACATTTTTCCCTCTATGGACCTATTTTGCCGATGGGAAATAAAAGGGCATTTCTTTTCCAGTGTGCTTCCAAAAAAAGTAAAAATTCTTTGCCCCTTGTGGGCGCTTTCCCCATATGGCCCGAAGGATTCCATAAACCATTTTGGATGAAAATCGCAGATCGACAGCATGACTGAGCAATTTTGTTGCTTTAAAAAAAATAATAATAAAGGAGGGGGAGAATCTCCTTCCCCTCCCCTCCAAGAATACATTCCTTCCCTTTGTTTTCACAAAACTTTTAACCCTCTTTGAAGCTCCGGGCAAAAGTGACTTCTCAGGCCTCCAAAGTCTTTTCTCCCTGGTGAGAAAAAAATTCAACCAAGGCAGTGGGGAAAAGTGTTAATTTCCAAGAGGGTTGCTGTTTTTATTCTTGCGGTTCAAAACAAAAACAAAAATCTGTTATTGTGGTGTAAGCTTTCCCAGAATCCTGAAAAGTGTGGAGCCAGAAGAATATAAGATGTTCCTGCTGGACCAGGCCAGTGGCCCATCTAGTCCCAGCATCTTGTTCTCTCAGTGGCCAACCAGATACCTGTAGGAAACCTGCAAACATGACCCGAGCACTAGAGCCCTCTCCCCTCCTGCGGTTCCAGCAAGTGGTATTCGGAAGCATTGTTGCCTCCGATTGTGGAGGCAGAGCATAGCCATTGCGGCAAGTAGTCAATAGTCAACCTCTCCTCCATGATCAGACGATGTCTGCACACCTCCTTCTCAAGCAAGAACAACAAAAGATTGCCTGGGCCACAGGTGAGCTTACCTGCGGCATTCAAGATGTTGGTGGATGGCAGCTCCCATCAACCCAGAGCATTGGCCACACTGTGTGGGATTGATGATGATGATGATGATAATGTTGTTCTTTAGTCGTTTAGTCGTATCCGACTCTTCGTGACCCCATGAACCAGAGCACGCCAGGCACTCCTGTCTTCCACTGCCTCCCGCAGTTTGGTCAAACTCATGCTGGTAGCTTCGAGAACACTATCCAACCATCTCGTCCTCTGCCGTCCCCTTCTCCTTGTGCCCTCCATCTTTCCCAACATCAGGAGTCTTCTCTTCTCAGGAGGTGGCCAAAATATTGGAGCCTCAGCTTCAGGATCTGTCCTTCCAGTGAGCACTCAGGGCTGATTTCCTTAAGAATGGAGAGGTTTGATCTTCTTGCAGTCCATGGGACTCTCAAGATGATAATAATAATAATAAGAATAAGAATAATAGTAACAACAACAACAATAATTTGTTATTTATACCCCGCCCATCTGGCTGAGTTTCCCAAGCCACTCTGGGTGGCTCCCAATCGAGTGTTAAAAACAATACAGCATTAAATATTAAAAACTTCCCTAAATAGGGCTGCCTTCAGATGTCTTTTAAAGATGATAGCTGCTTACTTCCTTCACATCTGAAGGGAGGGCGTTCCACAGGGCGGGCGCCACTACCGAGAAGGCCCTCTGTCTGGTTCCCCCGTAACCTCACTTCTCGCAATGAGGGAACAGCCAGAAGGCCCTCGGCGCTGGATCTCAGTGTCCGGAGCTGCCGTCCCATCAACAGTGAAGAGCTGGTCTAGAGCAAAAAGCTAAATGTGACTTGCCCTAGAATAGTCTTCTCTTAGCTGTGTGTCCTCCAGGCACCGGTTGGGGAAGGCAGACCTAGGAGGTAGAGCCGCTACTGGACCCTCTCTTAGATGTTGTTCTTGTGCTCCAAGCTCCACTGATGAGGCAGGGGCTTTGAAACATACCCTAAGAACATTACAAGAGCCCTGCTGGATCAGGCCCATCCAGTGGGCACCAGGTTTGGGGGCTGGGGGTGTGTGAATTGGTGAATTGGACCAGCAGGGGAGGGGCTGCCACCACCCACAATAGTGGAACATGCTTTTGCTCATGAAGTGGACCAATCTCCTATCAGAAAGGTAGTTTATAAAAGTGGTCAGCTGGGAAGATGAATTTGCCTGGAACCACATTGGTTTACTTTTTGGGGTGGGGGAGAATGATGGTGATGATGGCCACAGTCTGTTTCTATACTGCTTTTTTGTCTGAAGGCTCTCCAAGCAGTAAGGGCTGCAGCTCATGGGGATCTGTTTTGCATGCAGAAGGACCTCTTCCACCTTCAGGTAGATCTGGGAATTACCCCTTGTCTGAAACTCTGCAGAGCTTATAACCAATGGGCCTGATTCAGGATAATGCTTCCGCTGACCCTGTAATCCCAAAGCCAGTGAACTGCATCTTAAAACCTCAGCATAAGCCAATCAGCAGCCACATCCACGCTAGTTGGCAAGATCACCGAATAGGAGGGCTAGGAGAGGCCCTTTGCCAAGAGAGTGTGATAAAAGGTCCACTAATCCCAAGGATCCCAAGGATGTGGCATGACAAAAGTTCCGAGGGCCAGATAGAAATGCCTGGGGGCCACATTCAGTTCCTGCACCTGAGGTCCCTCCACCCTTGTCCCTAGGGGTATATACGCGTTTGCTGGTCAAAGTTTGTTTTCTTTTATCGTGCTTAAGAACCAGGTCAGTAATACAGGAGAAACTCTTGAGTTCTTCTGGAAACCTGTGGAGAGAAGTTATTTAGAGTTACAGTAACTCTCCCCCCCCTTCCCATTCCGCCCCATCCCTCTGCCGCTTTGATGAGGGGGAGGCGTTTATAAGCCTTCCCTCCAAACTCTGTGACCAAGGTTTTTCCACGGAAATAACTTATTAAACGCACGGCTCTCATTGAAGCGATTGAAGTCTGCCCGCTTGGTATTCATCAAAGGTGCCTCCTCTTCCTGGAGGTGCCAAATCCAAACTCAGCAATTTGCTTTTTTGGAGAAAGCTCGGGTCTCAGGAGGGGGGAGGGGGGGCCCCGGTTGGAGAGTCAGAGATGGCGGAAGAATACCTTAAAAAAAGAAAAAGGCAGAAAATCAAAACCCTCCCAAAACAAACTGAAGGGAGAGAACTTCAGAGAAACACCCATAATTTCAAAGAATTTCTGGTGGTTGAATCCTGCTGCCCTGGAACACTGGGCATTTGTGTCGATTCAGCTCTTGAGAATACAGCGTTGGCCGTTCCTGGTTCGGCTGCCGACAGCTTTGAACTTTTCCGGAACCTGGCCTGAGACTGTTCCGATTCTTTTCTCATCCCCCCTCCTCTCTAATCAGATGTAAAACCATAGAATAGGAAATCACAAGAGTTGGAAAAGGGTCCAAGGGTCATCTAGTCCAACCCCAGCAATGCAGGAATCGCAGCTAAGGAATCCTGAGAGAGTCCATTCCACTATTGGACCAGCTCTTACTATCAGAAAGCTCCTCCTAAGGTTGAGTTGGAATCTCCTATCTTTCCATTTGAATTCGTTGTTTTGGTTCCTGCCCTCCAGAGTAGCAGAAAACAAGCTTGCCCCATACTCCTCATGACAGCCCTTCAGAGAGAGAGGAAACACAAAGAAGCTGAAATGTTTGCAATGAGATAATTTGCATTTCCAAGCTAGAAATGTGTTATGCAAATCTATAAAATGTACAGAGCAACCTGCCATTTGCATTTTGCGGATTTATGGGGACGGTCAGATTTGTTGTGATAAAAGGAAGGGAAGAATATATAGATGGAGGAACACAGCCTTCAGCCAGACCCCAGGACACCAGCCCACCACCAACCCTGCGTTTCCATTGGCTGTATTCACACACACATTGTTATTTCAGTTTTTTAAATAAAGAATCAGAGAATGGCTCATCTGAAAAAAGGTATATACCTAAAGAGAGCATGAGAAGGAGGGAGGTCTTCTTTAACCTTTTCCAGATGAGGAAAAATTCCAGTTCTGAGGGTGGTGGTTTGATGGATAGAAATGTGTCAAACTGATGTTTAGCTTTTGTGTCAGGACAAAAGTACTTTGCATAGAAAGCCTTTCTTAGACTCCCTCCCCGCCCGCTTACAAATGTCTGGATCTGAATGGCCATAGCAGTCTCTTGTTTGGGAAACAAGCATTTTTGCGTGCCCATTGGTGATGCAAAGAAGATTTAAGTAGGACATACAGTACCATGACATCTTACGCTTATTCCACTTGCGCAGTTGAAGGCTGCTTGAAATCCCACAACCAGCCAGTGCATGGAGATGGCTTTGCTCTCTCACCTCTTGCTGGGTGTGGGATGCTCCTGCAAAATTTTGCATGGATGTGGGCAGCCCTATGCGATTTCGCAAGAGCATCCTAGGGTTTCTGGAGCCGGTGTGCCAGTTCCGAAAGCCCCCAGATGTTTGCATGGGGTTTGGGTTACTAGGCCTTTTGAGTAGGCGCGTTTTTGTGTATATATAGAACCCTTGGAACTGAAACACACACACCCACCCCACGTAATATCTGATCGTACTGTGCTAAGATGCTGTACTGTGCATTGCTTTCCTGGATTTGATTCAGAGGAAGGAATGCAGCCATTGTGGAAGTTATGATGGAAGCTGCCTTAGACCAAGTCAGACGATTGGTCCATCTAGGTCAGCCTTCCCCACAACTATGAGACTCTTAATCTCAGGCTTGTGGGTTTGAACCCCATGTTGGGCAAAAAGGTTCCTGCGTTCCAGGGTGGCTGGACTAGTTGACTCTAAAATTCTACGATTCTTGTGCCCTCCAGATGTTGGGACTGCACCTCCCAACATCCCTGCCCATTGGCCATGCTGGCTGGTGCTGATGGGATTTGGAGGAATGCAATGCACTGGCTACCTCAATCGAGCTCAAGGGGACTGTTTGCCTTCCGCAACTTTCACCATGCCTCCTGATAGGACATAAACCTATCAGGACTCCCTCTTGCTGCTGTCTTGGCTGGGTTTGCCACTTGGGTGCTGTTACAAGCAAGCACTTTGAAGTCCGTGGCATTTTGGCACACCCTGGTATTAGAAGTGACAGTGTGCCAAGCTAGGCCCAAGATCTGGAGGCAGATGGTTCATGCCTAATGTGCATCAAGGAGAAGACAGTTTGGGATGATGTCGGCACAGTAGCTGGCTGTAGCCTTTCCCATGGCTCTTTGTTCTTAGCTGGTTTGGCAACCAATGTGTTCAGATCTTGAGCCTTATTCAGCCAAGAACCCTCTGTCCACCTGTCCTGGATCTACACTCCCCTTGGCATCTCTTGAGCGATAGCAGCCTATCTTATTTACCCATCACTTACCCAGATACGTAGAATGTAGACTTGCATTTTCATTGCTCTTCAGAGTTGCTTTTAATTCTATACATACAAACATATATATATATATATATATATATATATATATATTTGCTTTCGTAGATTTTCACGGGTACAGGAATGCAGGTTTTGGTGTCCTCGGGTGTCTTCCCGTGTAAAAGTTGGGGTGTCTAGGCGACGTTTCGACGAGGTCTCACTCGTCATCTTCAGGCTGGTGCTTTCGGCTTCTTGTTACTGGAACAGAGCAGGATCTCAGTGTTTGAGTTCCTATAAATACTGTTGAGGGGGTGTGGTGTATAGCCTCCAATGTTCTGGGCAGAGAGGAAGTTCCCAGGTTAGTGTGCCTTTTCTTCTTTTGTTCCTTAATTACTTGAGGGATATCTTGAGTGATTTCTTGAGTGATATCCTGAGTACCACTTAGGTGGGTCATTAGGTGTGGATTAGTTGCTAAAGCCTTCGTGTCTTGACCTCTTGAACTTTGTGAAGAGTTTTTCTGAGAAGATGGCTGTACTGCACTTAGTTGTGCTCTGGCTTGGCTTCGTGTATAGGGGCGAGCTGTGGTTTTGTGTCCTGTGCCAGCCAGATCTGTGTAGGGATTGCAGGGGGGTGCAGCATCCGGAGGTGCCACCATGGTTTGGCTACTGGATGGTGTCTGTAATTTATCTGTGGAGAGGGTCTGGGTTTGGGTCTGGTGTGGTTGATTGGTGATGGCGTTCTGTGTGCCTCTGGATCTGGTGTCGGTTTTTGTGGGGAGGGCTAATTTCCAGATGTCTGGCAGGCGGGATGTGTCGTCACGCTTGTTCATGTTGTGAGGGTGTTTCTCTATCTCGATGGCTTCCAAGATTATTCTCTTGTGGTGATGTTCCATGTTAGAGAGCAATTTGGAATCTGCAAAATTAATTTCGTGTCCTGTTTCTTTCATGTGTTGGAAAAGAGAGGAAGTTTTTTCTTCTTTTTTGACGGCATTCTTGTGTTCTGCGATACGTGCATTTATTCGTCTGTTTGTTTGTCCAATGTACGTGGCTGGGCAGACTTTGCAGGGTATTTCATAGACCCCTTGGTTTTCCAACTGGATTTTATCCTTGGGGTTTCTGAGGATATTGGCTATTTTTTGGTTGGTGCAAAAGGCTGTTTTGATATTGTGTTTATGGAGGATTTTGCTAATTTTATCTGTAGTGCCCTTGATATAAGGAAGGAGGGCCATGCCATTGTTTTCTTCTGTGTCTTGGTTTTTGGGGGGTGTTTCTTTTTGCATTAGCTTCGTAACCCTGTTTTGCTGGTATCCATTGGCGATTAACACACTGGAGAGATTCTGTAACTCAGTTTCAAGTGGTCTTTGTCAGCCAGGCGTTTGGTTCTGGAGATGAGAGTCTTGGCTACGGAGTTTATTTGTGCAGGGTGGTGGTGTGATTGTGCATGTAAGTAGCGGTTGGTGTGTGTTTTTTTCCGGTAGATAGTGTGTCCTAGGGAGCCATCAGGTTTTTTGTAGATTAGGACCTCCGGATGCTGCACCCCCCTACAATCCCTACACAGATCTGGCTGGCACAGGACACAAAACCACAGCTCGCCCCTATACACGAAGCCAAGCCAGAGCACAACTAAGAGCAGTACAGCCATCTTCTCAGAAAAACTCTTCACAAAGTTCAAGAGGTCAAGACACGAAGGCTTTAGCAACTAATCCACACCTAATGACCCACCTAAGTGGTACTCAGGATATCACTCAAGAAATCACTCAAGATATCCCTCAAGTAATTAAGGAACAAAAGAAGAAAAGGCACACTAACCTGGGAACTTCCTCTCTGCCCAGAACATTGGAGGCTATACACCACACCCCCTCAACAGTATTTATAGGAACTCAAACACTGAGATCCTGCTCTGTTCCAGTAACAAGAAGCCGAAAGCACCAGCCTGAAGATGACGAGTGAGACCTCGTCGAAACGTCGCCTAGACACCCCAACTTTTACACGGGAAGACACCCGAGGACACCAAAACCTGCATTCCTGTACCCGTGAAAATCTACGAAAGCAAATATCTCACCTCTACGGGGAGGAAACCTTCCAGCTGACAAGAACCTACGAGAAACTAGAAATCCGAAGAGCCACCATCTTATGTGATCTCTTGTTCCTACGCAACTGCCGAGACAACAACTTAATTCCCACATGCTTCCAACTTAAATTCCACTCTAAAACCCCAGCTACCGAAAGGATCCTGAAACGAACTGAACTATCCCTAATCAGAAACGAACTACATAAGAAAAGATACCTACTAAACCAAACCAACAAAGATCTGCTCACTCTTCACCTCAAACTCTGTAACAAAATCCACCCTGCACTCTGGGACAAATGCAAACAACTAGCCGTCTGGAGAGCTGAAACTGAGACCTCACATAAGACAGACACACACACCAACAAACTCCACAAACTAGAGAAACGCCAGAAGCCCAGCCACCCTCCACAACAACCCATGAAACAAACAGTACATAACATATCAGACAGGATCCTCACCTCAACTGAAACCAAAGTACTCTCCAAAGGTTTCAACTTTGCAGTCGCCCCGAGACGCATCCCCACGGAAAACATCATATGCGGAGTCGAAGCTAGCCTAACCAAAATCAACCCAGATGAAGCCAATAAAATCAGACTTGAAGTCACCAACATCCTCTGCTCCAGCAAACCACCCAGAAGCAATTTACACAAAGAAGAACAGAAAGCACTCACCAACCTGAGGAAAGACAACAACATAATCATTCTCCCAGCAGACAAAGGTAATGCCACTGTTGTGATGAACACATCGGACTACCAAGCAAAACTATCAAATCTACTCCAAGACCCTACCTACCAACCTATAAAAACAGATCCCACCACCTATCTGGAAAAAACCACCAAATCCAAAATAAAAGCCTCTCCTATCAGTGAAGAAATCCAGCTAAGAATCATCCCCAGAGAAAAATCATCCAGATGCCCCAAACTCTACGGCCTCCCCAAGATACACAAAGAAGGAACACCACTCAGACCAATAGTCAGCTCCATAGGCTCACCTCTACAAAATCTCGCTAAATTTCTCGCTAAGCAACTTCAGCCCTATGCAGAATCCATCTCTTCACACGTTACAAACTCCTTCCAGTTCATAGAAACAATAAAGAAGCAAAACCTACATCCCAATGACCTACTTGTGAGCTTCGATGTTGTATCTCTCTTCACACAAGTGCCCATTAATGAAGCCTTGACAGCCATTCAAAACAAATACAATCCCCCCGAATACATCCTGGACCTGACCAACCACTGCCTAACCAACACGTACTTCATCCACAATGGACAAAGATACAAACAGATAGAAGGAGCACCTATGGGATCACCACTCTCACCGGTCATCGCAAACCTGTACATGGAACACTTTGAAACCAATGCTTTAGACAAGTCAGAACACAAACCCAAACTTTGGCTCAGATATGTTGACGACACCTTTGTAATTTGGCCACACGGGAAGGAAAAACTAGATAGCTTCCTCACACATCTCAACAGCCTACACCCCAAAATACAATTCACTATGGAAATAGAAGCCAACAACCAACTTCCCTTCCTTGACGTCCTAATCTACAAAAAACCTGATGGCTCCCTAGGACACACTATCTACCGGAAAAAAACACACACCAACCGCTACTTACATGCACAATCACACCACCACCCTGCACAAATAAACTCCGTAGCCAAGACTCTCATCTCCAGAACCAAACGCCTGGCTGACAAAGACCACTTGACAACTGAGTTACAGAATCTCTCCAGTGTGTTAATCGCCAATGGATACCAGCAAAACAGGGTTACGAAGCTAATGCAAAAAGAAACACCCCCCAAAAACCAAGACACAGAAGAAAACAATGGCATGGCCCTCCTTCCTTATATCAAGGGCACTACAGATAAAATTAGCAAAATCCTCCATAAACACAATATCAAAACAGCCTTTTGCACCAACCAAAAAATAGCCAATATCCTCAGAAACCCCAAGGATAAAATCCAGTTGGAAAACCAAGGGGTCTATGAAATACCCTGCAAAGTCTGCCCAGCCACGTACATTGGACAAACAAACAGACGAATAAATGCACGTATCGCAGAACACAAGAATGCCGTCAAAAAAGAAGAAAAAACTTCCTCTCTTTTCCAACACATGAAAGAAACAGGACACGAAATTAATTTTGCAGATTCCAAATTGCTCTCTAACATGGAACATCACCACAAGAGAATAATCTTGGAAGCCATCGAGATAGAGAAACACCCTCACAACATGAACAAGCGTGACGACACATCCCGCCTGCCAGACATCTGGAAATTAGCCCTCCCCACTAAAACCGACACCAGATCCAGAGGCACACAGAACGCCATCACCAATCAACCACACCAGACCCAAACCCAGACCCTCTCCACAGATAAATTACAGACACCATCCAGTAGCCAAACCATGGTGGCACCTCCGGATGCTGCACCCCCCTACAATCCCTACACAGATCTGGCTGGCACAGGACACAAAACCACAGCTCGCCCCTATACACGAAGCCAAGCCAGAGCACAACTAAGAGCAGTACAGCCATCTTCTCAGAAAAACTCTTCACAAAGTTCAAGAGGTCAAGACACGAAGGCTTTAGCAACTAATCCACACCTAATGACCCACCTAAGTGGTACTCAGGATATCACTCAAGAAATCACTCAAGATATCCCTCAAGTAATTAAGGAACAAAAGAAGAAAAGGCACACTAACCTGGGAACTTCCTCTCTGCCCAGAACATTGGAGGCTATACACCACACCCCCTCAACAGTATTTATAGGAACTCAAACACTGAGATCCTGCTCTGTTCCAGTAACAAGAAGCCGAAAGCACCAGCCTGAAGATGACGAGTGAGACCTCGTCGAAACGTCGCCTAGACACCCCAACTTTTACACGGGAAGACACCCGAGGACACCAAAACCTGCATATATATATATATATATATATTCTTACAAAATTCTACACACATAAATGTTTTAAATTGTTGCTTTTAACTGCCTTTGCTGATAATATTATTGCTTTATTCTTTTTGTAAACCACTTTCATGTTTTCTTTTCTTTAAACAATCAAACGGTGTATAAATTTTATGAAAAATAAACCAAAACCTTAAACGTGGCACGCAGGCACTTGTCCCCCTGGCATCCTGTCAAGTGGTCTGAGGGCACATACATTGGGTTGCGTTGCACACTTGCCTCCCTGGCACACAGTTGAATGCAACCTTCACCAACCTGGTGGTCCCTGGATGTTATGCACCTCAACTTTATTGACTCTCCAAGAGGAGAAAGCCATAAGTGTGAGCCAGGCCACTACTGCTTGCACCCTTCTAACGCATCTCACTTGAAAGGAAAGCTTTTGTTACTGGGGGCAGTTTTGATTCCACTGATGAAAGGGATGTTCAAGGGAGTGACTCCCTCCATTGGCAAGCTTTCCTTGGTGCACACCTGGGGCTCTTAAGTTAGGAGTAGAAATCTACATCTTTATGTGGGAAATGGTGGAAGCGGCAGATGAGCTAAAGGGAGGGTTATGCCCAGAAAAGCATGGGTGGAAACTCCTGGTGTCAGGAACATAAGAAACTGCCCTCTTCTTGGGTCCCATCTGCACTTTACCTCATACCACTTGAACCAGTCATGGCTTCCCCCAAGGAATCCTGGGAACTGTAATTGGTTAGGGGTGCGGAGAGCTGTTAGGAGAGCCCCTCACCAAGCTACGATTCCCAGAGTGGTTTAGCGATCAATCCTCCTCCTGGGAATTTTAGCTCTGGGTGGGAGAGGACTAAGTCTCCTAACTAACCCTTAGCAAACTACAGCTCCTGGGATTCTTTGGTGGAAGCTACCATGGTTTAATGTGGTATGATACTGCTTTAAGTGTCTAGTGTGGACAGAGGCACCAGTCAGACCACGGATCCCTGTAGTTGCTGTGGTCAGTTTTGACCAGCAGCAACTCTCCAGGGTTTTTAGTTCTTAGTCTTTCCCAGCCCTACCTGGAGATGCTGTGTGGGGTGAAATCTGGGACCTTTTGCATGCGAGGCTGATGCCCCCCCCTGAGCTACGGACTTTTACCCTGTTGGTTTCATGCCCAGGAGAAGTCTGAAGATGCTTTCCAATGAGATTCTATGATAGCTGGTGGAAGAAGTTCAACCCCCCCCCAACTCTCTCCATAGCAAAAAAAGGTTAAGACCAACCACTTCCTACAGGCTTTGCTTTCAAACTTGGACAGGCTGAGGAAGTGCATTCTGAAATCTGAAAAGTGTTTTATGAATCTGCTGGGAATGCAAAGCAGGGGGGGGGGGAGGATAGCAGTCACTAGCCCCCTTTTCAATAGAAGAGGGCTCTGTATTCTGCTGACTGCCAAACATTTATGGGATTGGCCCAGCGCCGGCCAATTGGCCAGCTCCGGCAGGCTGTGTCCTTCCGCTTTCTTGCTTTTGGAAGTAATTTGTGTTTTCAAAATAATAAATAAAGTGAACCTTGTTTTACAGTTGGGAAATGCTGTTGGCTGTAGCTTGCCTTTCCGCCTCAGAGCAGGGTGTGCTTTCCCCTTTCGGTTTGCTTTTTTATTTAGCAAACGCCATTGTTGTGGAAAATGTTGGGGGCAATGGGCTCACTGTTTTCCAGGAATGGTTTCCAAGACTCGGATCTTCCTTATCCCCGGGTGGCAGCACATGCAATTTCTAGATCCCCATGCCACCATGCCCATGACATGGTTGGGGCGAGAGCTGCCCTTAGAGCTAGGAACCTAGAGAGCTGCCTTATATCGAGGCAGGCCATTGGTCCATCTAGCTGAATATAGTCCATGCTGACTGGAAGCAGACTTTCAGATGAAATGGATCCCAGCATACCAGAAGATGCTTGGTACTGACCTGAGGACTTCTTCATACAAAGCACCTAGCACAATATTGTCTACAGCAGAGGTAGCCAACATTGTGCCCTCCAGATATTGCTGGACTACAACTCCCATCAGCCTTAGCCAGCATGGTGAAGGATGATGGGAGTTGTAGTCCAATAAGAACTGGTGGGCACCCCATTAGCTGGCCGGCATTGACTTTGGTGGGTTCAGGCAAGTAGTATTCCCAGCAAGTTTCTGCATGCAACGGTATGGATGGCCCTTCCCCCAGAGTTGGATGGATGTCATTCTCAACAAAGGTCTCTTAGATAAGGCACGAGGAATGTTTGCCTACCTTATGCTTCTCTCCAGACTTTGATGTCTCCGTTTCTTCCCTTCTTGTTCTTCTCCACTGGTGTTTCCTGTTTGTGGACCACTGGTAGCCCACGGACAACAGTGAAAGCACTGTTAAGCTCCACTGTTGTTATGGGTATCGCGACACAAATGGCACTTGTCTGTAAACAGTCACAGCATTTTCCTTGGAAACACTGATTAAGCATTCCCTGTTAAGACACCCTCAATTTTATGTCCCAGATAGACTGTATAGAATAAGGTTACCAGACGTCCCCGTTTCCCGGGGACAGTCCCCAGATTTACAAATCAGTCCCCTGACAAAATCCTATCATTCCTATTAAAATTGAAAAGTGTCCCCGGATTCATTGAAAAAAATCGGGTAACTGTAGTGAATTGCAAAAATGAAAAGGAGAAATAAAAAAAACACTCCGCTTTCTCCTGATTACAGTACTTGGGGTCTCCTTATCATATTTGTACCCCACCTATCTGACTGCGTTGCCCAATCCACTTAGGGTCATGTGTCCTTTTGCCAGTGAGTGCAGGGGTTCAGTGAAAGGAAACTGTGGATCAGGCTGGGAAGTGGACATCCAGTTGGACAAGTTGGAAGTTTCAGAAAGGACTTCTTCCTGCAGCACATAGTTATAAACTACGGCATTCACTCCCAAAGGAGGCAGTGAGAGGGCCAGCAACTTGGATGGCTTTCATAGAGGATTAGAAAAATTCATTGAGGAGGTTATCGATGGCTACCAGCCATGAAGACTATGCTCTGCTGCCAGTGCTTAAAATCAGGAATGCTTCTGAATACCAGCTGATGGGAAGAGCAGGAGGGGAGACTGCTCTTGTGCTCAGGTGCCGCTTGTAGGTTTCCCATAATGGGCATCTGGAAGGCTAGACTAGATCCAGCCGGCACATCTTCTGTTCTTCAGTCTTGTGAGGGGTGCTGAGTAGTGGGAGTTATGGGTAGAGCAGCACTTGACAGTCCTACTGCCTTGGGGAGCCTCCAACTAGAGCTACGAAGAAATCGTCAAACTTTAGCTTGTGAGGTTTTAATGCAGGGGTCGGCAACCTGCAGCCCATTGGCCCACGGGGGTTGTTTAAACGGCCCATGAGCTGCCTCCAAACCGAGCTGCCCACTCGGCAAGTCCCTGTGCGCTGCGCTAAAGTGCTGCAGTGTGGAGCAGGGACTCTCTTCCGCAGCGCCGGAAATCGCGTCTGCACAGACGCATTCCGGCCCATGAAGTGATCTCTGCAGGAGTGAACTGGCCCAGGCGAGGTAAACCTTGCCGTCCCCTGTTTTAATGTGACCTTTGCACATGTAGGAACAAGAAGCATGTTCTTTTCAATCATTAGAAAACTCAGAAAAGGACAGCGGAGGTGCTTTTCTGGAATTCTGCAACAAGTGCACTTGTGTGGGTCTTAGAAGTGCAGAATCCTTCGCATCGATGCCTTCCAGCTGTTCGGATTTATTTTCCAAGACCCCCATTCTAAGTGTGTCCCCCCTCCCATGTCTCTCTCAGCTTTCTCCCTGTCACCAAAGGCCAACCTCAACAGAGGTATGCGAAAGTACTTGGCTTGTTTATTGGTAGAAACATTTCATGCAATTCCTCTGGATACGTCCCCCCCCCTTTATATATATATAAAAGTTTTCAGATTGTTGCAGCCGCACATACTTGAGAATGCCCTTAGTGTTTTCCATTTCAGCGCCACCGATATGAATCTGGTGATCTGAAATTGGATTCAGCTGTGCTTGGAGCAGCCAAGGCTCCTTCTTGAATGCAAAGCAATCTGGGCAGAGGTGCCTGGCGCTCGACTGGCTAGATTTGTGCAAGAGCCTCCGTGGCTTGAGAGAGCTGCTCCTTCTTGCTTCCAAGACGTAGGGCTTCCATGTTCTTAGGAGTTGTTCCTTGTGAAGGCTATCTTGGGTTGTGGGTTCACAAACTGGCCTTCCGCAAATCACTGTTATGCAGGCGACAAATCTGGTGCTCGCCAGGCAGTTTTGGACTACAACTCCCATCACCCCTGGCCATTGGCTGTGCTGGCTGGGGCTGATGGGAATTGTAGTTCAGCAAACATCAGAAAAGGCACCAGGCTGGTGAAATCTGGGTTAGCCACTCACATCTCTTCTCAGGGAAGTTGAGATTATCCCAAAGGAGGTGGCTTTGGCGGCAGATACCAAAAGATTTATGAGTGTCTAAGAAAACATAGGGATCCATTTTGAAATTATCCAGCATTATTTTTGTTAGCTGGCCAGTCTCTGGACTGAAACCCTTTCCAAACTCCTTGCTTCTTTGCTCCCCCACCCCAGGATAGAGCCCCAGGATGTGGTCTGAAGGCTTATGAAGCCACCACCTTGGTGAAGCTAAGCAGGTCTGAGCCTGGTCAGTGGCTGGGTGGGCAACCCCATGGACTCCCCCTCCCCCTGGGGTTTCTTGACATTAGATAGTTGGGTGATAAATGTACAAAATAAAATAATGTTATTGGCCAGAAGGTTCTGACTTCCTGGTGTCTCCTGTCATTGAGTTGTTGGTTATTTTCCCCCTACCTCAACCAGATGCCACAACTGGGAGCCATTAGCTCTAAGAAATGTAGCTCAGACTGTTATGTGCCCTCTGCCGTTCTTCCTGGTTCTTGTTGCTAATGGAGTGGTGCAAAGTCATAAGTACAGTGGCACCTCGGGTTAAGAACTTAATTCGTTCTGGAGGTCCGTTCTTAACCCGAAACTGTTCTTAACCTGAGGCACCACTTTAGCTAATGGGGTCGCCGCGCTGCCGCTGCACGATTTCTGTTCTCATCCTGAAGCAAAGTTCTTAACCCGAGGTACTGTTTCTGGGTTAGCGGAGTCTGTAACCTGAAATGTCTGTAACCTGAAGCATCTGTAACCCGAGGTACCACTGTATATGAGAAGACCCCGCTGGACCAGTGGCCCGTCTAGTCCAGCACCCTGTTCTCACAGCGGCCAACCAGATGCCTGTGTGAAACTCGCAAGCAGGACCTGGGCACAAGAGCTCTTTCCCCTCCTGGCGTTTCCAGCAACTGGGATTCAGAAGCATTGCTGCCTCTGACTCTGAAGGCAAAGCGTAGCCATGTTGTTGTTGGCAGCCATTGATAGTCTTGTCCTCCATGAATTTGCCTACTCCTTTTTTAAAGCCATCCAAGCTGGTGGCCATCCCTGCCTCTTGTGGGAGTGAGTTCCATAGTTTAACGATCTTTTTCCTGCCCTGGATTGTCCAGCATTTAGCTTCATTGGATTCTCATGAGCTGTAATGTTGTATAATGTAATGAAACGTTAGGAGAGAGGGACAAAATTTTTCTTGGCTCGCTTTCGCCATACCAGGTATAATTTTGTAAACTTGTGTTATGTCGCTTCTTCCTCACCTTTTTCTCTAAAGTAAAAAAGTCCCAAATGCTGCAACCTTTACTCATAGGACAGTCTCTCCATCCTCTTGATCAATTTGGTTGTCCTTTTCTCTCGGGTATAGGAGGCAGCCGGTATTGGCAAGACCAGGGGTCAGCAAACTTTTTCAGCAGGGGGCCTGGTCCACTGTCCATCAGATCTTGTGGGGGGGCAGACTATTTTTTGGGGGAGGTGAACTATGCCCACAAATAACCCAGAGATGCATTTTAAATAAAAGCACACGTTCTCCTCATGTAAAAACACCAGGCAGGCCCCACAAATAACCCAGAGATGCATTTTAAATAAAAGGGCACATTCTACTCATCTAGAATTGAGAAGGTGATTGGGCTGGATCCGGCCCACGGGCCTTAGTTTGCCTGCCCACGGGCAAGACCTTCTGCTCCTCCAGTGGCAGCCATTTTGTGTTCTGGGGCTCTGGAGGGAGGGAGTTGAGTCCTATTGAACATGAGTGTTGCTGCTCATGTTCTTAAATATGCTGACGCTGAGCCCTCTCTTCTTCTTAAGTGAGGATAATTGTGCCAAGAATGCCAGAAAAGAGCTTGCAGATTGGGGTATTTCTTTTCACAGGGCCAGAGTGGCAAATTCTGCATCCTTCTAGCCCACTCAACTTTTGTCAAAGCCGGCCCAGAATTATTTAAAGCCCTCATCTTTCTTCTTCCCCCACCCTCCCGCCAACCCTGCAAACCCCCGTCAGCCCTGCGTTCTTTCCATCCCCCCCCCACTTATTTAGGCATGCTGCGAAGAATGCACAATTAAAAACAGCTGGTTATGAAAATGAGTTTTCCCCTCGAAGGCAGGAGCAAAAACTGTGCTCGCAGAGAGGGGCCTGGCGGAGTTGGAATTGGCATTTGTTTCTGCTGCTGCATGTTCCTCGCTTGTTCCTTAATGCTGCCCGGCGGCCTTTTTCGGAGCTCCTAGCCTCCTCAGCTCTCTGCTCCTGGGTCTGTTGCTTTTGAAATGCTCACTGTTTTCATGCGCTCTCCACCCCTCCCTCCCCTCCGTGAGCGCCTTTCCCCCATTCACATTAATGTAAACACATGTTGCCTGGGGCGTAACGTGAATTCCCAAAGCGGTATTTTGCGCGCGCTGGAATCTTTTGTGGATTTCGGCACCGCATTTGCATATACGAGCAGCCATCCTGGCTTCATAAAAGGGGGGGGGGAGTAGAAAACGAGGCAGCGTTTCAGCAACCTTGCAGCAGTTGTAAATTGATTGGTAGGGAGGAGCTGGCTATGAATCCATCAGCGGGAGATTCCAGCTATCTAGAAATCGATGGTGATGTAATACTTGGAGGAGGATGTGCGTTTCTATATTTCATTATCTCTAATCGAGCTTTGTTCATTCAGAAGAGGATTACCTGTCTCATGTTTTTGGCTGTGCATTTGATAACGTGAACTCTCTGTGGGTCTTTCCATTTCCCTGTTGCACATCACAAACATTGGGCGTATATTGGTGGGGCTGGAGTATAGCCAGCCCCCCAGCATCTCTGTGTCCAAAGATTTGGTTCATATTTTTAACGGGAAAACGAGATGGAGGGGACCCCAAAGGTCATCTAGCCCAACCCCCTGCAATACAGGAATTACATCTGAAGAATCCCTGACAAATGGCTGTCCAGCCTCTGTTTAAAAACCTCCAATGAAGGAGAGCCTGGCTACCTTGCGAGGTAGTTCGTTTCGCTGTCATCACTCTTGCTCCTTTTTTAAATACTAAAAAGTTGCTTTGGGACCCACCCACCCCTATTTCACCAGTTTTGATACTGAAAACTGCTTTGTTCAGAATCCGGCCTGATGAAGGGTTCTGGAGATCTCAAAAGCATGCTCACTTATTTTGTGACATTTTGGTTGGTTCTACACATTGAGGGCACCCCGTTAATGAACACTGTCCTGAGGCATTGTATGATGGAGGAAACAGAACAGCTGCCTAAAAGTTGGGGTGCAGATGATTGTTTTGATAGTTGCTTAGTCCGTTCCCCCCCCCCAGTGGAAATCAGATTTCTTCCTTTTGCGATGATGTCATCAGCTGGAATCCCAGCATAGCTGATGGGCCCTCCTTGCAAGTGAATGATGTGATGTGGAGGCTTTCAAGTTTTGCTCATTTTTGTGTGAAGAGTACTGCAGGTGGAAGTCAAGAGAGTTAGGCAAATGATCAAGCAGAGGCTGGGCACACATTTCCTTTTCTTTGATGGGGTTCTTACTTCAGGGCTAGCCATTTCCTTGGCGGCACCACTTTGCGAGATGCTCCGTATTCCCTGTTAAAAGCTGAAGGTTGCATTACGGCCAGCTGAAGCTCTCTGGTTAAGGCTTAATGGGGTTTCCCGGTGGAATTCATCCTATAAACATCTACTCAATGACTGTCAGTAGAGCCTAGTAAATTGGTTGTTATGCTACGTACGGAATTCACTCCTGGATGCTGTAGTGATGGTAGCAAATGGGAATAGCTTTAAAGGGGGATTAAACAAAATTTTATCATCGGTGGCTCTACCTCCACTGTCAGGACAGATGGGCCTAGCAGACTGGAAGCCGTGACCCTAAAGAGGAGAGCCCATTCCTTGCCCAGTCAGACTCTGCTAGGCCCAGTAACCGGCAGGCCTGGAGGTTCTGGAAAGTACAGTGGGGGCTTCCCATTGGGGCACCTAGTTGGCCACTGTGAGAACAGGATGCTGGACTATGAAGGGTTTCTTGGCCTGATCCAGCACTCAGGCTTTTCTCACATTCTCTTGCCCCACATTGGGCCCTGCTAGAAGCTTGGAACCTGCAGCCACATACGTTTCTTAGTTTCTAAGGAAATCGTGAAACCTGGCTATTTTTTGCCTTTACCCAGCATCCAGACCTTTGGCCCTCCTCTCTGTCTATCTTCTTTTCTTTGCAGAATTCTGGTCAAATTGCAGCATCCCAGACTGCTCCCCTCCTGTGGACAGAAGCAGGAGATTGAATAGGTTGCAAATTCTATAAAGCGTGCAAGAATGGATGAATGCCCTTCTCTGATATAGTCTCCGGGGCCAGAGAAACAGGAACCCACAAGCAAGTTTTGATGTTTCTTGATTCCAAGGAGCAGCTGTTCTTAGCACTCTGGTGCCTTCCAGATGTTCTGGACCACAGCTTCCACCAGACCCAGCTGTTGTTGTGATGGGAGGTGTCATCCAAAACACATAGAGGGCAACAGGTTGGCGAAGTCTGGCTTGGAGGCTCCTATAGGGCTCATTGTGAATATAGATAGTTAGGTTTCAAGCCCAGAAAGGAAGATTCCTTAGCAATTCTTTATTTTCTGTCCTTGAAAAGGAGATATTCCAGGGGAAGGAAGCCTGAAATGACCGATGGTAACTCCAGAATGATTAGCGGTTGCATTTTTGAGACATAACAGGTTTCTCTTTAAATGACTTGTTGTGTAAATGTTTAAAGTACTTCCTGAAATTTATACAAACGCACTTGGTAGGCCTTCAGTCATGGTCGGAGCTGTTAGCTCAGCTATCTTTTCAGGACAGGCTGAGTAGTTTTGGGAACAACCCAAACACAGATCTTTCCAGAGGCTAATTTTGGACTCAATAGACTACACATTCTCTGAGAACCTTTCTTGCCCGTATTGGGACAAAGCAACCTTGGAGAGGCCTGCCTCAAGGCCATAAGGACTCCAGGGGTTTGGTGCTCTTGATTAGCTTGTGCTAACATTTGGCAGGGAACTCTTGTGCTCGCATATTCACTGTGTGTTGTGGAGGAAGGTCCACTGTGGCAAATGAGGGCCCTGCCCCGCTGACCGCAGCCTGCCCTTAGTCAGCCATTCACTTACAGACCAGGGGGTGGCCCTGCCTGCCAGTTTCCTCCCTAGGCTTGGGCAATGTATTGGTACACCATCCAGGACAGGTTTGAGGGCCAGATCGCAATGGTGTTTTGACCCAGCAGTATATTGTGAGTGGAACTTGCCAGCTGTTGCCTTAGCTTCTCCGACCGAGTCGGCAAGCTGCCTCCTTCATCCCTGCGCCAGGCGTTGGCAGCAGTGACTTCACCCTGGTGTCTTTCAAGGCCAGCGGAAGTGTTCTTTCCTTTTCAACATTGTGATGTATCGCAGTGATTAGCTGGTGATGCTTCACAACGTTGAAAACTTGATATCGCTCAGCCCTATTCCTCCTTCTTCATCCCAGGGGTCGTACTTGTAGATTTTAACAGTGAGGACAAAACTGGACTTAGTTGGTCTGGTGCTACCTACTCTCAGGCTCCCTGTCTTCTGCCCCACCAGCCCAGCCCAGTGCCTCTGCCATTGCTTACTGGAGTATACAGGGAATAAACACCATTGGTTCCCCTTCACCCTTCCATAGCTGTCCTGCCTTTGACCCGGCAGTGGTGGGGTTTGGGGTGTCCGTACGTTTTAAGTTACCTTCTGTGTAAGTGTTGCAGCTGCTGAACTGGACTCTGGGCACCATGAAAGCATCTCCCAGGGGACAGGAAGGGACACATCTCTTCATAGGGAACTTTTGGGGGGGGCACATGTCATTGGCGAAAGTAGGTTTATCCATGGGTGTGCCCCCTACCCTTTGCATAATAGGCTGGATTGCAGGCACACAAAGGCCAGTGGTTTCTGCACAAGCCACAAACGCACCTCTCCAACATCCATCCAGGAAAATGAGAGGCATTTTCACTTTCCAAGGACGCATTTCGGCCAGGCCAAAGTGCTCAAGGAACGTGTGCTTGCAAGCCCCTTCATTATATTTGACACACAGCTCTTGCCCCCTCTGGAAGTTTCCTTGTGGAGGAATTGGTTTCAGGCAATTTCCAGTGCCCCTCTCCTTCCCCACCAGCCCTAGGTGGCCACAACCCCCCTGCACTTTGCCACAGGACCGTGAAGTGACGAAGTGACAGACCGGACTCCTTTTTTCCATTACCGGGAGCCCTCGCTTGCGTCAAAGGGGAAAAAAGACTCTGCACCTCCAAACACGTCAGCAACGAGTGCACTTTCCATCTGGAAAGCCCCGGGGACTTCGCAGTAATTTGCCCGGTCACTTCATTCCCCTGAAATGTCAGCAGTTCTGAGCAGGGGCACCAAATACCGTTTCTTTCTTGCAAGCGGAGCAGAGTCATAAAGTTTAAGAAATTAGCCTTTTTATTTTATTTTAAAAGCTGAGATTGAGGAAAGGGGTTGAGGGGAGAGAGGAAACGTGTTTATTTGCCCTGCAGAATATGA